CTTCAGAAGCCTTTCAGCAGTTACTTGTGGATAGCTATCAATGCCCATGATAAAGAATATTGCATTCATGCCAGTGGATAGCACCTTAATTTCAACCACTGGTTTAGAACAAGGGATTCTTCCTTTTCCTACAAGAACTATGGCAAAGCAATGACTGATGTTAACATCAAGTATTTTGACTTCATGCTGCTGTTGTTTCATAATCTGTACATAGCAATAATGACCTGAGAGGTTTCAGGAATGTGTCCTTTTATCTTCATCCTGTTAAACAAGAACTACTGTATTAGGACTCCAACCCAGCTTGGGAGCTAATGCAAGAATTTGTAAGAATATGGAGGCTTCACAGCCAAGGTTTTTGCCTTGCCATGCCTGCTTCACCCAGGAAGAAATTAAGATTCTTTCTGTTGCCTGTAAGTTTTTCTGCTGTGATGTACAGTACTTGTAACACCTGACCTGAAGACCTCCCCTGAAACAAGGTTCATACTTGGTATGAGAACTTTGAAAGGACATACTTGTACTTGCTAAAATTTTAATAGGACCAACACTCTGTACATTTTTCAGTTTAGTACCTGATGGCAGGAATTAGGTTGCCACAGAGCCACAAATAATTATCATAAATCTTACTGACAATCATAATTGAAGAATGGTGAAATACACAGCCCCTTTGGGGTTGGCTTGGAGGAGTTCAGGTGAAAAATGTTATTCCTAACACTAGAATACCATGCTGGATGGAAATACAGTGTCTGAATTCCTTCCCTGTGTCCCATCAATGTTCAATATGACAACCCCTCAGAGATGGATGCACTGTCAGCGTACCGTTGTCGAACAAGGGATGCCCAGCCTCACCAAAGGGGGGTGCTCTGTCACCATTCACAAAGCTGCAACTTCAAACGAAGAGGCCTGAGCAAAGATGAAGGAAGCTGCTGACCAGATTGCTGAACAATTCCAAATACTGGAACCAAAGAACGTGTTCAACGAATCAAGCCTTGGACGCCAGATTTCTTCTGCTTTTAAATCATGAGGTGGGAAAAGTGTTTGACACAAATGGGGACTGGAAGAAGTGGGACCTCCAGTTTTAGTGAAGAGCATAACCCTTTTTTGCAACTTTGACTAGCTGAATACTGTCTTCTGCTTCCTCCCTCTCCTAGCCCTGTGTTCAATATACAGAGATCACCACAATCAAAGATGAGCCGTATGCCCAACCAACAGTAAGGAATGTTTGAGCCACTGGGTGGTGTGGAGGACCTTGCACAAGCATGTTTGTCTCAAACATTCTGACTGTTCTGGCAGGAAAGCTGTGATTGGAAGAGAGGGTCTCACTGAGGTGGGGCAGCACAGCGCTGAGCCAACTCCCTGCTCCACCTGAAGAATTGTGCTTACTTCACCACCCTGCACTCATTCCCTGGAGGAGGGCTGGCTATGCATCCAAGAACAAAAGAGCACAAAACACCTCATTCGCCTAAGAGGCTGCATCAGGTTAACCATGAAAGGAAGCAGACTGGGCTCCCCTGCTCTCTTTTTCCTCTCTTTCACTGTGTCACAATTCCCAACTCTGGACCAGCCACACAAGTGAGACCAAGGCAGGATCTAAGGACTGATGACATGCTTTTGTTCTCTTCCTTTTCTGTTTTTATTTCTCTTCTCCCTCACTCTGTCTGGGCAAAGCACAGCTATAATTTTCTATTCCATACTCCACACTGAAGTTTTTTGTGGGAGTGGGGAGTTTTGGGAATGTTGTGGTTTGTGAGCCAGCACCTTTAAGTAGTGTGATGAGGGAGCTGAGAGTTTATTAAGTATACTGTAAAAATTACAGGCTTGCTACCCAGCAAGTGGAAACCTTCAAATATAAGGGCTTGCCAGGCAACACCTTTCAAGTATAAATAGTGGGCTGGTTGCCGGACACAAGGTGATCACACTAAAAAGCACAAGAGCTTCCCAAAGCATGTCCAGTGTCTTTGTTGAATCCTGATGAGAATTTATAATGAACATCATGGCCCCTACTGATGGGTCATGACATGCTCAAGCAGAAATTCCTTTAGCTAGTGTTTTGGTAGTGGTTACGCATCTGCAGAGCGGGTAAGTTTGAGCAGTGGAGAAATATGTCAAAGGGAAAGGGAAAAATAATGAAGGAGAAGGAAAAGCTGAATAGTGAATAGGAGGTTTAAGTCAAGTGCAGGGTCATGTAATAAAAGTAGAAAATCTAACAATAAGAAGAGGTGAGCAGGGAAGGTAGAGCATTTACACACTAAACAGCTATTGCTAAAGAACCACCTGATTACAAGAAATTAGTTTGCATACTAAAAGACCAGCAGAAACATATAAACACCACTACACAGCACTGAAATGGTAAAAGCCCAGCTCTTAAGAGTTTCATTATAGTTCTTTAAAAAGTCTATTCTGACCTCTCAAACTGGAGTATGTGCCCAACCAGAACATCCAATAATGAATTAAGACAGATGAAGAGGAAGATTCTGGAACTGTAGCTGTTCTACCAAATTAAATATGCATTTATGTATAAACATTATACTTGAAAATGCATGTGTTGTACAACCCTCAGACCTCACGTAGAAAAACTGTTGAAGCTATTTTTTTACACAAGTCCTGAAGCTGCCCTAAGCACCATAACAAGAAAATGCTTGTATAATTTTGTCCACAAGGGAAATATTAATTCAAAACAATTTAAAAGTTTGAGTCAAAAGAGCACTTATAAAATACACTTATTTTTAACAACAGAAGCACTCCTGAAAGTTGCTGCATAAAAACAGCCATTCATTGCACTTGAGAGAAACCCACACAGTCCTTCTGCACTAGAGTATATGGTTACCATTGATATACAAAAGATCTGGCATAGGAGATGTCTTGCTGCTCATAAGACAATAGTAGGTCAAAACCGGAATGCTACCATGAGGAATGCAAACACAATTTTAGGATTCTGCAGGAGAGATAACAACAACCACACCTGCCAAGGGTACCTGCTTAGACTGCAACATAAACTTAATTCAAGTAACCCAATTCAGGAAGACTAAACTTGAACTACAACAGGTGCAAAGCAGAGAGGAAGTTAAGAGTGTCTCAGTTACAATAACAAATCAAGGGCTAAGCATAGGCCTAATGACTGCTCTGAAAGCACAAAAGTAAAAGTGCCAGAGTAAACAAAAGCTTACATATAAAAAGGAAAAGGATGATATGCCACTGTATCTATAACTGTTAGAAAAAAGTCCTGGCACTGTCTCAAATAGGAGAAGAACAGGAAAAAACACAAAATCCAAATAAACCTCACAGTTTGTGGCAGCTGCATTTAAGCAGACTAAACCTTGTGACTCAAATCCCTTCCAATCAGGAAATAAGTATGTATCTGAAATACATACTGAAATAAAAAAGGGAGAACCATATTAAAAAAATTCACTAGTTCTACCTGCTAATAAATGTATTTTTATCTTACTATGACGATGCAAGCTCCAGTGTTGATTTTCACTATGATTCCTTCATCTGTTTTTCATTGCAAAGACAGTATAGCTTTTCATTACATTACTTTAAGAGGAAAGATCCATTACATACTCAGAGTTCTTTCAGCACTAACAGTAAATTACATATATACTTAATTGTATTGGTTCTTTAGTGACTCCAAACTAAGTTACTCAAAAAAGTTGCTTCAAGCTTTTTACTCAGCTGGGAACAAGCAGCTCTAAGATTGAGATATTCAGAAATAAAGAAAAGTATATGTTGCCAAGACAAGCTGGCAAGCTGGCTGTCGCTGTAACAGTTAAAATGGTTTGAAATGGCAGCCAAGCTTACTAAATTGTATATGTCATAAAAAAGCTTTTATCAAAACTGATCAGATAAAAAAGTTGCCTTGCTCTACATGATTAAGTAATTAGTGCTTAAAAAAACCACACTACCTTGCACTTTGTAGTGGACAGCCTTTAAGTAGAAGAATTCTCAGACTACTTTCAACTTTCATCAGACATACAGAGTAAATTCAAGATACGTGGAAACAAAATGAGTGTAAATCTGATTTAACACACAATAACCCTCAAAACTGTATCCAATGTTGCTCTCTCAAGCCATAATTTGCATGTTTTACAAACTTCTACTACTCCCAAAGTAAGCATTTCCCAAAGCAAGGAGAGTGACATCAGTATTTTTCAGGAGTTTATTATGCTTGTAATGCTTTTCAGATTTCTTATCTAAAGCCATGCATTTCTGTTCCCACAGTTCACCTTCCACTTTATGAAACCATACTGTGCTGTGTAAAAAGTTCTGTGCTACTGCAGCAACAAGAGATCAACTAGAGTCCTGTCCTAAAAATCCATCAATGATAAGAAGTAAACAAGTGAATGTCATCATTAAATACTTCGGTTATGAAAACAGTCATTTACCAAGAAGTTAAAAAAACGCAGAAGCAAAATATGGTGTCACCAAAGTAGTTCCAATGATGTATTAACAGGATATCCAAAAGTATCATGTTTGCAAAAGATGTACATATTACACAGCAAATTTGCTGTGTTATTGCAAATAAAACACATCTACCAAAGTGATGTACACATCCCAGTGTACTAAATACCACCAGTTAGAGATGAAAAATACTGGGGGCGGGAGTGTGGACATAAAACACAGGCAGCCTCAAGAATTTCTGGAGTTTCTCTGTAGTCACCTGATGTTAAGATTCACAGTAAACTTGTTGCTCCTCTACTTGTTGGACAACAAAGGAACTTACTAAGATTACTGCCACAGACCAGCATCCTTGAAGCAGCATTAAACCATCACTGACTTTGCAAACCCAGATTTAGCTTTGAAAACAGTGACAACAGTTAAAAACTACTTTTATTCAATATGGCCAAACTACACAATTACATCTATCACTAATTGCTTTTATCTAATTCAATGAAATCATACAAAACTATTAACGGTTTCAACAAAAGAAATCAACCCATTAACATCTGAAATGAAAAATCTGATTAGTTTCTCATCCCAAATCCTTAAAAAAAATATTAACTTACCAGCTTAATTGCCACATAGTCATTTGTGTATAAATTTTTGCCTTGAAAAAAGAATAAAAACAAGAATGTGAGACACTGGCTTTTCTGTTCAAGTAAATGCCATTTAAATACCAAGAAAGTCTTCAAAATATTTTTCATGTAAGGTGCTAGCATTCTTGCAATGACTTAGGAAATGTGGGTTCATTAATCCAATACCTTAATTCAAAAAGATTTTTTCCTTGAATAGTATAAGAGGTGGAAATTTCACAGAGTTTCAGATATTTCACCAAATTTGTGATTTTTTTTTTTTGTACTAAAAGAGCTTGAAAATTGGTAAATCACAATGACCAGAATGTGATCTTTTCATAATTATTGCTGAAAACTATTTGAAATTTATTTTTAAATTACCATACAATTTTGAAACATCAGCCACTAATTAAAACTAGAATTAACTAGTTAATTAATTGAGGACTGTTTTTTTTCCTCAGTTATGTAATTTACTAAGCTAAAACTTAGGAAAAGACAACAACATCCCTGATAGGCTTACACTACTTGCAAAACGCATCTGCTGCTTTAAAAGGGATTCTGTAACTGGATTAGAACTTTTCAAGAAGCATCACTTCAAACTGTATGCAATGACTAAAATGTTAAACAAGTTTTATAGGTGTAAAATTAAAAAACAGCAGATATAGGATAAATTAAGTTGTCACTTCCAACACTTTTTGTTTCTTTACAATCTTCAAATGCATTTAGTGTACATTATTCTTAATGATAATCCTCCTTTTTACACTGTAGCATTAATCAGGTCTGAATTTCCTACGTTTAGCTCAGTTTTGTTAAAGAAATCAAATGGGGAAAAGACATAGACCAAGTCTAAAAAGTTCCCTGGGAAGACAGTTACACAGAACCATAGAATATTCTGATTTGGAAGGGACCCACAAGGACCACTGAGTCCAACTCTTAAAAGAATGCCCCACAGAGGGATTGAACCCACAACCATGCTTTGACCAAGTGAGTTACACCAACAGTCAAAAACCATGAACTGCTAATGATTCTTTTAAAAAATAGAGTACTTCTGTAAAGCTGAAACAAGATGCATTAAAAGCTCATATCTCTTAGTGGAGATCAAACTTCACCAAAAAAAAACCAAACCACCTGAGGGCCTCACAACAACAAACATAATTAATATGAGGAGTATGCTATAATCTGACCCACAAAGGGGGTCATAGTCTCCTATGTAGGGACTAGAGTGGATATCCAGGATTCCTAAGTAGTTCCTATTGGAAGACCATATCAGTTACATTTTTGGTAAGAAGTACACTTCGCAGTTGTTTCTGTGTCTTTGCATGCTGTTAGAATCTATAAGACACCAATAGAAACTCCTGAAGGAGCCCTGCTCATTCCATATCTTAGCCATATATATCACCTACTCTGAGTAAGCAACAAACCCAGTTACAGTTAAGTAACTGGATACTGAGTTCCAAAAGTTGTAATGACATGCTTATTCTGAAGTAGCATCAGAAGGGACATTAACTTTCCATGTGGTTAGTTGGAACAATCCTCTCTTTAAAACACTGCAGACACATATATAGAACACCACTGTCGATCTGTATATAAACACACAACAGGTATTGAGTAATGCATCACTTGCAACAGCAACAAATTCTCTCTTACTACCTTATCAGTTTACCTTAACTATATCAGTTTAATTTAACTATAACAGAGAGTCTTAAAATTAACAGCTCAATATCCAAACCAATTTAGTCCTTTGCAAGCTAAAGATTAAAGATCACAGACAGTAATTTGTACAGAGAGCAAATTTCCCATTTGATCTGCAAGCCACTACTGAAGTGTGACCACTAATTTCTTCTCAGATGGAAGAACAACAGTTCCCGATATATAACTGATTTTTTATCTTCTGGGCACAGCTTCATCCCTCTACAACTTTATTCCCCCTTTATGTCCCTCAGGTCTAACCTTAGGACACATGCTTAAAATATATTCCTATCTGCAGGAGCGCATATAAAAAACTAAGCACTTGTGTACATCTTTGTAGAAAGGGTGCACACTAAGTACTTGATACCATAGCAAAGCAAATGAAAAAATAAAAAAAATTTAATCAGAATCTATAATAGCAATATTAACTTCTGTTTTCAGTAACTTACATTTAAAACATCTCCCTCACAAAAAAAAAAAAAAAAAAAAAAAAAAAAAAAAAAAAAAAAAAAAAAAAAAAATCAATAAATAAGGATTTGAAATATCTAGAATATAAGCAAAACCCACAGGTATTAAAATCAGAAAGGCTGCACTTGTTCTGGTGACTGTTGCAGGATAGTACTGTCCTATAATGTCCCTCCTATTCCTTTACTTACTTGTTCTATTTTATTTCAGTACTATCAAACTGTAAGTCTTAACTAATTTAATACTGTATTTAAAATCAAATACATTGTTACACTGTAACACCTGCAAGTAAGTAAGTTAATCCGATATTAATTCTTAATCAGCTCTGTACTTTGTGACCAAAATAACAGACAGACAAAAAATTACCTTTACTAGGTTTGCAGTTGCCTTTATGTAGAATTAATCTTGCTGGTTTGATTTAGTTCATTGAGAGGTTTGAAACAAAAATTAAGATTTGAAGGCAGTATGCAGAAGTTTAGCAAGTGAGGAAGAGCAATTTTTCAGCTTGATTTGTGGACTGAAAAGGCATGTATGCAACACTGTAAATGTCAAAATGTATTAATTTTGTGTAATTATTAATAGTAGTAACAAGAGTACCTATTAGTGAGACTATAAAATTCAGTGTCCTAAGTCACTAAGAGCTGCAGCAATATTGTCTTAAATCCCCCTACAGTATAAATTTGCTAAGCTTGTTTACATCCTGACAGCCCCCAGAATGCACTATATTAAAAACATTATATTTTATGCAAACACTGTATCACAAATACTGTCTGAAGGGCAATGAGTCTTAGTTCTACCACAGGCAATGATCAACAGAAACAACACCTATATAGCCCACCATCCTCTCAAATATCTAACTGTGAAATCCACCTCTATTTAATGCATGAAGCACTTTAACTCAAGCCTTCTAACAATACTAGAGTACACTGTTGCCATTAAGCATCAAGCTGTATCTATTAACACATAGTTGAACTTACACATCTTGAAAACCCTAGTTAATCATGCTGTCCATCCTGGAAATACAAGTCCACAAAACTAAATATATAGTCTTCCAAAAGCACACACCGATGGTGTCTATTTTAATAAATGCTAGCATTTCCAGCTTTGCTGCCCAAATTCTTCAAAATTCTATAGGTCCTTCTCAGTCTGCCTTCTGATTTTCCACCATCTGATTCTCAGCCATCTGTTCAGCAGAGAACTAGAGTGACTGAATTATCCCAAATTTTCTCAACAGATGGATTCTCACTGCCCTGTTTAACAGCAACTCAAGTGTTTAGCCTCACTACATTAAAAAAGAAACCAAGGAATTTCCTTGATCATAGGTATTAAAAACTCTGTAGTACCTGGTTACAGTATCTCCAAGAGATCTGCCAGACATATAGGATAGGGATGTGTCTCATACATCTAGCCCTACATATTTAGTACCTCAATAAAGTGCTTCAGGAAGTCTGAAAAGACTGCTACAATAACCATGATGTAAATTCCAGCATCTTGGAAGAGAAAACTGACTGAATTTAGGAGAGCACTGCACATAGCTAGAAAACATTTTAGTCACAGGAAATATCCTGCTATATGGATTCTTCATGTCATCAAGCTTACACTGGTTAGGGTAAAACCACAAAAGATGGGCTGAATATACCTTGCACATCTGAAGCTTTAAAAAGGCAGTTTGAAGAGCTGCCCTGCAAAAATTTCATAGAGAAATTTTCTTGCCTACACTGCATAAAAATGGCCCTGACTAATGTAAACTGAAATAAATAAATGAAGATCTTACCTAACCGTAGTTCTCCAAAATTACCGCATCCAATTTTTTTACCAACTCTGAAGTTAGGGCCAACCATTAACACTCCAGAATTTGAAGAACCAGTTCCACGTGGATTATGGCCTGATCTCCCACTAGGCCGCGCCATTCTTTCATCTGGTTTGTCTTTGTCTTTCTTTTTATTTTCCATGTCAAGTTTACGGTACTCCACCTTGATTTATTCCTCTTTTTAAAAATCAGTAAAAGCAAATTCCAATTGGACGAGGTGAGAATGAAAACATCATGAGTGAAATGCCCAGCTGGTTACTGTCAGTAAGCAGTCAACAGCAGCATGTTCATCCTGTTTGCAAAGCCTTGGTGGTATCTGTAGTAAAACGTATTTCCAGACTGCAGGACACAAGCAATATTTCCTAGTCTTTACAGGAATTCTGTTGAAAGAAAAACAAAGTTATTCAAGACACTAAGATTCTTGTACAAAATTACCTTTCCCTTCAACTAGACACATAATTAAGCTATAACTAATTCTATTTGCTTTACAGATCTATGAAAAGCACTACTTTAAGGTTAATTCTATTTCTAGTATGCAACAGCAAGTGATATTGTTGTGACTGAAGCGTACTAAAATTTCAACACTTCAAGCAATAGTTATTTCTTAAAAAGCAACAAAAAAGCCCTATAAAACTTCTTCCTGAATAAACACTTAAAACTGATGGACACACTTCACCTTATGCCAGCACTTCAAGTGAAAGCATTTTATTTATTTTCCCTCATATAGTATCTGCTGTTTTAAGCAAATGCTCAAGCTGCACAGTTATTGAAGTTATAGAAATATATTCTATTTTCTGAACTGTAATTTCTGAGATACACAAGTTATAAACTCATGGCAAGGACACTCGAGTTCTTTCAGTAACTCTTAGAATCTAAAACTACACTATATTTACTTACTCTCCCCTACTATATTTCTGTCATAAATCTGTTTCCCTGCTCCACTTCTCCCTTGTTTAGCATCATTGCCTAGACACAAATTCTGACATGGATTTCAGCAAAAGCAATGTTATCTTACTACTGTAATAAAGAACTACAAGAAAGCTCTTGTTTTTAATCTCAGCTGTAAGAACACTGGATATTGTTTTGTATTTAATTACAGCAGTGTAAAAAACCCCATAATTCAAAAGTTTCTACATTGGCAAAATTCCACAATGAATTAAATATCTGTCCAAAATTATTTTCCTGCATTTGCTTCAATGTTGTGAACACACTGCAGTAATGGAGAACATCCTCTAGAAAAATGTATTTCATGTGCTACAGCCTATTTTAAAGGTAGTCACCAGGAGCTTATTTTTAACACTTTAAGCTGAAGACACTTTTATTTTGTAAAACAATTTCTCACAAAGTAAAATTATTACTCACATCACAGCTTACCACAAAATTTCAAAAATCAAAGAGGTAGTAGTGAAAAAAATACCAAATAATATGAACAGTCACATGAATAGTTGCATCTGCTAAGTCATACATAGTTATAGCATAGTTATAACTAGATGACATTTAAAAATCATTAATCAACAGCTGACTAACTTATTACCTGAACAATGAAGTACACAGAAATTTGTTTGGCAAAGAAATACAACCACAGTACTGTGAAAGGGGGAATGAAAAGTTTGTTCTGAGAACAATCAAAAAACACAAATGCAGATAACAATCCAAGTTGACTTGCATAATGCCAGGGAAAAGGATTTCAGCAGTGAGTAATGAAAGCTGTGGTGTTTTATGGTACAGACAGAAGTGTTTAAGAAAAAAGACAGGCACATACTACACAATCTTGCAGGTTTTCAGATACCCTAAAGTTACCTTCTAAACCACAGATCTCAAAGGAACTGACTCAGTGGGAAGCAATAGGTAATTTTCCCTCACCCACTACACTACAAAAGCTAAGGAAGAAATAAGAAAGCTAAACATTAAGTCTGTTGAAGTAGAACTTCAAAGTCACCATTCAGTTCTTAGAATGAAGGGCAGCATATTTGATACAACAGAATGCAACCACATGCTCTAGGTACCAAAGAAAAGAAGACTTCAATATTTTACCGGCTTTTTCAGAAAGAACTAAAAATAAACAATCCTAGAATTTTTAGAGTACCAAATACATGACAAACAACATCAATTTTGATTTACACAAAGAAATGTGTCTATTATATGGACAAATCTATTACACAGTAACTCATGTCCTCCCCTTTCCTCCTGTTGAACTAACAGATACTCCACTTATATTATAGGTCAGCTTTCTTATAAACTGAAATTAGTACCTTTTTTAAGATATGTGCTAAATAACCAACACAAGTCACTCACATTTTTCCCACACTACATATGAAAAGGAAGACATGCAAGTATTCCTTGTCACAGTATCTCCAGGACACAGGTGTTCTCTTACATTTTCCTAATACAATAATCTGCAGCTAACTCAAAATAAGGACAGTGATTATGACTTTCTTCATTTTGAAATTCCTGTGCAATATTTTATGATGTATTTACCTTAAAAATACAAAACATTTTCATGGTTATATTTATTTCTATTGTACTTACCTACGACAGTGTTATAATGTTGATGGCAATATCTTCTCTTCACCAAAATGCTCACATTCTAGAGGAAAAGCATCAGAAGGCAAAGAGATATATTTATGTAGTATTTGCCATTACTTATCATGCAAAAACTTCTGATACAGAATGAAAGTACAGGTTTTGAAACTGCATTAGTTTTTTTAGAGTATTAAGGAAGATGCAGCAGATTTGTTTCAAAGACTCAACATAAATTTTAAGGCTCAGAAGTTATACATCATTCAAAGGTGTGCATCATCTGAAGCACAAAAGGAATACATACAGTGTAAGCATTGTAAATTATTTGCAAAATCATTTTCTTGCTATGCAATATGGGCAATCTGTGTGAAAAACATGCCATCCTCACTTCACAGCTTGATTTTCTGTTTAATTTTCATTTTTTTGTTCTGCCTAAATAAATGAGCACACTTAAACCATAAGCTTCAGCCCAACATCAGGGAATATTGTTAGGATTTAAACAATTGTTCAAAAAGATATAGGACTAAATATCAGGACAATGGCAAACACCATCAAAGCCAAGTTGACAAAGCAATATCATAGGTGTGAAATTACTATGTCCAAGGGTGAAGAGAAAGAGAAGGCAAAAGAAGCTATCAAAAAAAAATCAAAATGGTATTACATATTAGAAAAAATAATTAGATCTCAATTATAAACTAAATCTGTAATCTGTATAGACTGAAGATAAAAATTAAAAGAAGATTGGAAGAAGCAATAATTTCAGAGTAACTGACATGCACAACTAACAATAGCTACCAGAGGTTGCTTTTTTTTTGTGTAATCTGATAGACTTTTCCAAGCCCTGTAGAGAGACTGCGTGTAAAGTAAGGAGAGGCACAGTGTAGAAAAGTAAGAAAAATGACAACAGGGTTTCAATTGACTGACAACTCACATACCTAACACCTGCAGAAGTATCCCTAGATTAGAGCTATAAATCTACACATCTCTCTAAATCTGTTTGAAAATGTCCCACTTAACACTACTGAAGACTATAGGCCACATAAGAACCCTATTCTGTAGCAACAATGACTCTCCAGGACACTACATAAGGCAGAATAAAAGAACAGTTCAGCTAAGCATCTTCTTTATTCATACATTTCTCAAATGCCTGATCCTGCAGCAACAGCAGGAACACCACCATAATTTTATGCAAGCTTAGATGTTCCAAAGTGTCGTCATGACAATGTTCATACTCAAGTGTGCAAGTCACCTTTAAAAAAACCAAACTTCCTATCTACCTCATTCCTTTTTTGTGGAGAGTTTTGTGCAGGAATGGCTTGATGAGAAAGGACATAGTCAAATTGGCCTGATAAAACTAGATGGGAAAGGAGGCTAATGATATCTTGAAGGATAGGGTGTCCTTCAGAAGGGGAAGTCTCGGTAAGACTGTATCAATAAGTTGCAGAATTAGGGACTGAGAGTTAGCTCTAAAATCACAAAAATGCAGAAGAGACCTTCAGATGATGTAATGACGCAAATAACACATTAACCAATGATGAGCTACAGTTTTGCACTATGCATGAGCTAATTAAGTATTGTATTTAACCAAGTGTATGATTATCAATAAATTGAGAGTTTGCTGATGACCATCTGGTGTCGCCTCTCCCTTCTTCGACACTTTTTCATGTTCCAGATTTACTCCTAAATAAACTAATTAAGAGAACATTAAAGTAGATAAATAGAACATTCCACTGCCCAGGAATGACAAACTTAAATGAAACATGCTCCCTCAGGTAACAAAAGCAGTACCCTTCACATTGTAATTACAAGATCATACATCACTGCTAGTATCAGTATACTAACATTTTTCTCTACTTTTAAGAAAAGCATTTAGCAGCAAAAGAGCTACAGAGGAAAATAAAAACTTGACAAAGCTTTAAATTACATTGGAAGAAGGAAAAGGACATAAACAGGTTTGAAAGTGATAAGCAATTGGATGGTATGCCAAAACTCAAGAAACTGAGCGCTAGTGAGATCCTTCAACTGGTCCAGGATGTCTCAGCTACAATGGATCACACCCAAAATGTTTCCACACCAACACATACAGCATGAGGATCATCACTGGAGTAAGTGAAACCTGGTGGGATGAGCCCCTTGATTGAAGCGCCATGTTGGATGGTCACAAGCTCTCCAGGAGGACAGTCAAGGCAGGTGAGCTAGAAGGGCTGGAATACTGCTGGAAGCCAGCGATGGCAGGCCGATTGTCTCTGAGTAAGGATTAAGGGACAAAAAAATAATGTGGATGTCATCGTAGGAGTCTACTATAGGCTACCTACCCAGGACAATGATTCCAGAGAATTACCCTGAGGAACTAAGGGACACCTTCAAAACAGCTGCCCTTGTCCTTACAAGAACATCAACTTGTCAGATGTTAACTGGGAGCATCACACAGCTGGCACAAATAGGTCCAGACCAGTCCTAAATCTGGACAGTCTTATAATGCAGCAGCTAATGGAGCCAGCTATGAAAGCTGCCCTCCTTGATGTGTTATTAACAGGGAGGATCTCATTAATGAATTGGTGACTGGTGGCCACGTTGGCCACAGTGACCACAAAGCAATTGAGTTTAAAATTAAAATCTCCATTATCAGAAGGAAAAGTGACAGTAAAATTTCAGTCCTGGTCATGACAAGAGCTGACTTCAAGCCGTTTAGAGAACCAGTAAGATGCCCTGAGAAAATGGTTTTGAGGGTGGTGGGGTCCATCAGGCCTGGTCATTTTTTAAGCACCACCTCCCAAGGGCACAGGAACAGGCAGGTCCAAAATGTCAGAAGTCAAGTGGAGGAGGCAGAAGGCCAGCTTGGCTAAGCAGGAATTGTCTCTCAGAAATAAGGCAAGAAAGTGAGCTGTATGCCCAGTAAAAGCAATGTCTGATGAAGGGAAGAACTACAGAGATGCTGCAACCAGTGACAGGACCTGAGGGAGTGGCCTGAAGTTGTGTCAGGGGAGATTTAGGTTGGATATCAGGAGAAGTTCTTCACCCAGAGGGTGACTGGGCACTGAACAGGCTCCCCAGGGAAGTGGTCACAGCACCAGCCTGACAGAGATCAAGAAGTATTTGGGCAGTGCTCTCAGGCACATGATGTGACCCTTGGGGCATCCTGTGCAGGGCAGGAGTTAGACTTCAATGATTCTTCTGGGCCCCTTCTAACATGGGATATTTTATTATTTGATGAAACACAGTAAAGAAACAGTCCTGGTTTCAGCACAAGGCATTAAAAATTCACTCAGTCTTCTGGCATTTTCATATCTCTGCAGTTTCTCACCTCTCAAGTATCTGTTCACATATTTCTAATCCCAAGTTTTGGCAGTTACAGTAATTTAGTAACACAGCTTCTTCTCACATCTTCTAGAAGAGCGCAGTCAAAGTTTCTAGTGCCTTTGCCACAGACTTCCAAGAGACTTTCTCTAACACTACATGTAATTTTTATTGACTACTTCATCTACTACAGTCTTTAACTGAGATGAAGAACAGTCACATTCACTTTCCAATGATCATTTCCATGTTACAAATACAGTTGTACTGGAGAAAAAGTGACACAAGATTCCATCCAACAAAATTCCTTTAGAAATACTTAAGAGTAGAAAAGCTTAGTGTGAGATCATAAGACAAAACTTAAATATCTAATCAACTGTTTCACTATTTTTGTATGCCTCATGGAAAAATTAAGCTGTTCTTTCTAGATTAGTTATTACTGCATTATTTTCATTAATTTTTATATACATGTTTCCATGCAACAGATGAAATCTACAAAATTCCAAATCCACAGCAAATAGGCTCAAAATTGAAGATCCCTTGCAAGTCTAGGACAGCAGCTTCTAATTGCATAAAGTTTTCAGACAGAATTTGAATTGGAAAATATCTCTAAAATTATATATGACTTAGTTAGAAAAAGTTGTTTAATGATTCATTGCATAACTCCATTAAATGTAACCAAATTATTACTTCATCATTTTTCAGATTTCTAAAGCAGAAACAATATGCAGAATCATTAGCACTTCAGTCAAAACTAAAGACAAAATTAGTGTGCTGAAATTTGCAGTACATAAAATTTCCACAGATGCTACATACTCATGCTATCAGCTTTGAAAAAACAAAGAACATTTCCAACAACTTTCTCCTGACACAATTCTCTCTCCAGCTATCAGCAGCCTGTGTCAAAATTGCTCATTAATGAATCATTTTACAAGTCTAAGGTGGTGTTCTTTACATGTGACCTGTACACAATGAAAACTTACTCATCAACAACTCATTTTGCTTTAAACAATATAATCTACTTCATACAGCTGGGGAATTCCAAAACTAACGGCATCTGATTTTACAAGTTTTTTAAATTTTTTCTCACATAAAAACAAAATACAGCTTGCCATTATCCACTCTTCATATTTTCAGAAGTTAATTAATTCATCAAAGACTATTTTATTATCCCATTCCTTAGGTACTTATTCTGACTTCAATTAGGTAAACAATTACCTTGAAAGCACTGTAAAGATAACATGTGAATTCTCTGAAACAACATCTTCTTCCCAAAAAAAAAAAAAAAAAAAATCAATATTTTGTAGTAGATGTGAACAAACCAAGAAATAAGGATGGTCTTTTTGAGCTTCACATGGGAAGACTGTCGTCTCCACAACAACAAAATAAGAAACATACAAGAAGTGAAAATGCACCTAAATAATATCTTCAGCAGGATCAACACTCAAGCCATCAAAAACCACTACCATATAATTTCTCTGCCGTTTGCTTTTCAAAATATTGATCTACAGAACACACACATTTACTACATTTCCTTCACAGACAGAAAGTACATAATATACTAGTAAGTTTGAAATCCTTCCTAGTTTCATCAGCAAAGAGGGAAACCACACAAAGCAACTGCTACTTCTTGATCACATAGAATTTTTCACACTTCAGAAGACATGAGTGTTTATTTAAGAAGGCAAATATAATAACCTAATTTCAAAGGCAAATGAAATCTCTTTATAACAGATCATGCAGGAGCTCGACTGTGCAGTTTATTTCTCAGTG